TGAGTTTTGAACGTGAGCGAGCTTGATCACGAGTGGCCAAGTTCAAATGCCTCCAAAATTGAGCGAGCAGAGTATTCCTCGGGTCCGCACCTGCGCTGCGAACACACCAAGTAAGCGCGCAGTGGGTCAGCGATGGAAGTGTGCCCTCGATGCGTGCAATACTGTCCGCCCTTGGCATCGGGTCATTGCTAGACAACTCCAACCAGACCGTCCGCATTTTTTCACCAGGTCGTTTTTTCGGAGCCGCCCATGGAAACGACGCCAGAGGCATTAGACACTAAGTTTGGTTGCGCATCTTGACAGCAAGCGGCACCCGCGATCGTCCGAACTTGGCATCGTCTCAGATGTATTTCAAAATGGTCAGGGGATCTGTTGCAAGCTGTGACGTGTTATGTCCGTGCTCGGTCACGTATGTCTTCTTTTCCCCTGAACGCTGCAAGCTGCTAGTATTCCGTTCTCAGTTTCCAACATGCCCCTTTGCCCGACCGCGCAGCATTGTTGTTATACATCTACAGGTTTGCCAGTGCCTTTTCATTTGGTTGTCTCTCAGGACAGCAGATCTGACCAGCCCAGTCCAGAGCTTCTGTTGTCAGTTGCCGTGTGTTGTTTCAACTGCCATTCCCAAGCCGAGGCGTGTTGTTCATCGTTGTCGGATGTCATTGCTTTGCCGTTTTGAAGTACTACCAGTGAAAAACCAGACCGGACCACACCAAAACACACGCCCTCGTTGTTTTGATAGACAATGGGCATCGGAGACTAGAGGCGACTGTCTGCACTTGGCCAGATTGAGCACCTTGGGCTCTCTTCTGGCAGCGAAATCCCAAACCGTCCGGCGAATCCCGCGGCCTCGCCACCGCCGCCACCGTCGCCCGCCACCGTCGCCAGCTCGGAGTTCGTCGAGCACGTGGCGAGAGCCGCCTCCCAAACCCCGCCTCCCCTCGGTGCAGACGAGTCGACGGCTGGGATGCCGCCCCCCGGCGGCGCGATCCGGAGCCCGTTCGTCTCCATCCCGCCGCCGACGCATCGCGCATCGCCGACGGGTCGGCGGAGCGGCGCGGCCCTCGGAGCTCGGAGCAAGAGGGCGGGGTCGGGCGGCGTGCAGGCGGGCGGGCCCCCCTCTCCCCGGAGAGGGGCGGCGCGGCAAGAAGCGCGCAGCCCCGCTGGACTTCCACGTCCGCCTCGACCACAGGAGCTCTCTTCTGGGGCGGGCCCCGCACCCTCGCCGCTCCTCATCCCTGCCTTCGCCTCCCCTTGGTGCCTCCTGGCGTCTCCTGTGGCCTCCTGTGGCCTCCTGGCGCCTCCTGTGGCCTCCTGTGGCCTCCAGTGGGCTCCCGTAGCCTCCTGGAGCATCCCGTGGCCTCCTAAGGCCTCCTGGAGCTTCCTGGGGACTCCTGGAGCCTCCCTCACCATCCTCCGTCATCCGTCCTCCTCCCTGCGTGTGCCTTCTCCCTCCGCCTCCCTCCCTCGTTTCTCGCTCCCCACTGGCGCGCTTACTCTCGACCTGCCCCGCGGCAGTATTGGCGTCCCTTCAGGGGTCTGTAGGGGCCAGTTTGATTTGAGCGGTCAGTCGCCGCGAGGGAGAGTCTCGATGCCGTCTTGCCACCGCTCTGCGCTTGGAGGCCAGTTGCGACTCTTCTGGAGGCACAGGAGAGTCATCCTGGAGGTATGTTGGGCCGTCTTAGGGGTGCCTCGGAGTCTTCTCGGTTGCGCTCTCGCAGACCCCTGCAGCCCATGCCGAAGATATCTTGATCCAAACTTCCCCCTCCCTCCGTGTTGATTTCTGCTGCGTTTTACGTGCCGCTCCCACTTCTGTTTCCTACCCCTCCCCTGTCCTGCTCCCCGCCCTCTTGCTCCTCCTCTGCCCTCCGCCTCCACCTCTGCCTGCGCCTCCTCCTCCTTTTTCCCGAGGCATGAGGACCACTACGTCGGATAGCCTGTTCCTGTTCCTTTGAAGCAAGTTTAGAAGGGAGGGGGAGGTATGATGAGGATGCCGACGACGACGACAACGTTGATGCTGCTGATGATGACGATGATGATGATGATGCTGATGATGATGGTGACGCTGGTGAACATGATGATGATGATGATGATGATGATGATGATGATGATGATGATGATGATAATGATGATGTTGATGATGATGATGCTGTTGATGATGATTATGACAATGATGATGCTGATGTTGATGATGAGGATGGTGGTGGTGGTGATGGTCATGCGTATGATGATGGTGATGATGATGATGATGATGATGATGATGATGATGGTGCTGCTGATGATGTTGATGTTGATGCTGATGTTGTTGAGGATGCTGGTGATTCTGTCGAGAATGCTGATCGTGATGATGCAGACGATTATAATGATGATGATGCTGGTGCTGATGATGCTGATACGGAGGTTGATGCTGATGATGACGCTGATGCTGATGACGATGATGATGATCATGATGCTGATGCTGATGCTGATGATGATGATGATGATGGTGGTGGCGATGGTCATGCTTATGATGATGATGGTGATGATGATGATGCTGATGATGATGATGATGATGATGGTGGTGGTGCTGATGCTGATGCTCACGATGATGATGATGCTGACGATGATGGTGATGGTGAGGATGATGATGATGATGACGATGATGATGATGATGATGATGATGATGATGGTGATGGTGATGGTGATGATGATGATGTCGATGCTGATGGTGAGTATGCTGATGATGAGGAGGATGATCACGATGATAATGAGGGTGAAGACGAGGATGAGGATGCGGATGCGGATGATGATGGTGTTGATGATGATGATGATGATGATGATGATGATGATGATGATGCTGATGATGATGATACGTATGATAATGATGAAGATGATGATGATGAGGAGGAGGAGGAGGAGAAGGATGAGGAGGAGGAGCCTGCCACCCAGCGGCAGCCGCCCAAGAATCTGGAGGGCCCCAGACTCGATAACTTTCGAGTCTCTCTGGAGGCCGGGGTGTTCTTCATGCCAAGGTCAGGAACGTTTGCTTAGCGTGTCGCTCCTCCAGCTAGTTCTGGCCCACGACGCTTCGCCGCGACACGCTGACCACGTCCCAGTCCCCAAGCGTCAACGTTGCGAGCTGTTCCCAGCCTCCCACCCCGCGAGGCGCATTGACACGCCATCAGCTTGCAGGGCATGGCGTGCCGCAGGGGCCGCCGCCGCGACACGGCAATTCCGCAAAAGCTCCTGGCTGAAAGCCTCGGACCCAATCTCGGCGGCGAGCTTGGTGGGGGGAAGTGAGACTGGGCGGACCATCCCAGCAGACTCGGCTCGCTTCGGACCTTCCGAGCAGGTTTCCACGCCGTCCCCGAGAACGCAGAAAGCTACCCAGAAGGCCAGAGGGCTTCTGAGAAGCCCCGCCGCCTTCTGAGAAGGCCTCCTCGTCCGGCTCCTCCTCCTCCTCCTGCTTCTCCTCCTCCTCCTCCTCCTCCTCCTCCTCCTCCTCCTCCTCCGCTTCCTCCTCCTCCTCCTCCTCCTCCGCTTCCTCCTCCTCGTTCTCCTCCTCCTCCTCGTTCTCCTTCTCCTCCTCCTCCTCTTCTCCTCCTCCTCCTCGTCCTCCTCCTCCTCCTCCTCCTCCTCCTCCTCCTCCTCCTCCCTCCTCCTCCTCCTCCTCTCCTCCTCCTCCTCCTCCTCCTCCTCCTCCTCCTCCCCCCCCTCGTCTCTCCGCCGAGCAGGCGGAGCCAGTTCTCCCCCCCCCCCCCCCCCGGCAGGAGCGGGGAGCCCACCTCCGCCCTGTGGGCCCCTGGCTGGGGCGGCCGCGGGCGCACGCCGAAGGCGGCCCTCCCCCCCCCTTCCCCCCCCTTTACCGACGACAACAGAAGCCCTGACCCGAATAACAGAGTGAAGGCGTGGCCTCACACAGGTCCCCGTCTTCTGGGCGGCCTGGTTTTGTACATCTGCAGAAAAAGGGCTCCCGAGCCTTGATGTTTTCGGCCCTCCTAGCTTAGGTTCTCTCCCAACGGGTTAGGGGTCCTGCTTTGGTCAATCACCCACTCCCCGCGCGCGTGGCGGCCGCCCGGGGGGTGGGCGGGGCGGGCGCTGACAGGGGGGTGGGTGGAGGCCACCTAGATGGGGTCGGACTAGATGGAGTCGGGGGATCGCGCCGCATCACCGATGCATCGGCGATGCATGGGCGGTCATCGTCGACGTGGCCGATACATCGGCGACGTCGACGTGAAGGAAATCGGGCTCCACATCGAGCCGAATCGGCGATGCATCTGCGATGCGGCGCGATTCTCCGACACTGTCTGCTCCAGCCCCATCTGGGAGGCCTTTGGTGGGGGGGTCGAAGAACAAAACACCGCATAGACATGAACGCTTGGAGCTCCACGCAGATCTCTTGGATCGGCGCTGGACCCCGGGAGGCGCCGCTGGTGGGCCCGGCATCGATGCCAGAAATCCGCGCGGAGCTCCAAGAATTTGGTCGGGCCTGTCCCTCTACAGGAGGAATCTTCAAACACAGTATTCGAGAAAAGTGTGGGGAGGATTTTTGGAATATGTTTTGACCATTGTGGGGCATGTTTAGGGTACTTTTCATTGTTCGTCCAAAGCCCGCCTGTAGGGGGGGCATGCCCGACCTCATCCAAGAGTGTGTGCTCACGTGTGCAGTTTGCTCTTCTTGTCCAGCGGGGGGGGGAGTGCGGTGCGCTCGGTGGGGCGGGCGGGCGCCCCTCGCCAGGGGCAAGAATCATGCCGCGCGGGGGCCGGCCGGCGCCCCTTGCCGGGGGGTAGCTCGGGAGGGAACAAAAATTCACAGACACAAGTAGTCGTCAGGCCGATGTCGTATTCGGGAGCGCTAAACGCCATGCGGCACGTTTCCGCGCATGCGCAGTGTAGCTGGGGACGCAGCGGCGCGGTCGATGCGCGGCCCGCGGTTGTTCGCGCCATCCCCATCCCTTCTGGGCCAATTGAAGTTTCCGCTGGAAGGGCGCAGGGCGCCGGGTCGATGGGGCCTTGCGTCGGGCATGCCAGCGGGCCATGACAGCGCACGATGCGTTACTGAGTTGCTCTTGCAATCTGACGTCGCGGAGCAGTTTCGAGCGGGTTCCAGGCCAGCCCGAGACTTCGAGTTTGCAGGGCAGCACGTTTCGCGCTCGGCGGCGACGCCCGCTGCCACGCCGGAGTGCGACGGGCAGGCGGCCCCGGTGGCCCTGGGGCAGGACGGCGTTGACGCGGACTCCGCGCATGGCCTCAGCCTAGCGTTGAACTTGAGCAGCAAGGTCCAGCATCCTGCGTCAGCTGAGGGGCGGAGGAGGACCGTGCGCTCCTTTGGCGGGCGCGCCCCCGCCGCTCAGTGGGGGTTGTAAACGGACTGCAGCAGCATAGCGCAGAGTAGAGGTACATTCGTTGCGGGAAGTGCTTGCCCAAGCGCGAGGGCGCTCCGGAGTGGCTGGGCGAGGAGAGCTCGAGCGTCAGCGACGGGCCGTCATCGCAGGGCACGCGAGATCCCAGCGCGAGCAACAGGTCTGCGAGCGCCGACACCGGCGACGCCCGGCAAAGGGCGCGTTGGGAGGGCCGACTTGATCGCAGCTTGGAGCGCCCAGCCCCGGCAGGCGGCGCTGCGGGGCGAGGCCTGGGGGGCCGCGCGCCCCAGCTGCAGAGCGAGGGAAGGGCGAGAGGCCGGGGGAGACGGGAAGAGGCATGGTGATAATTGTTAGGGGGCCCATGGCGGGCAGGGCCGTCGGCGCCCAGTCTCGATGCTTACCTCTCCAGTGAGGGGGGGGCAGGAGCAGCGGATGCTTGCGCCTTCAGTCCTGCCTTCTCTTCCTTCGTCTTGCGTGCCCCGTCTCGCATCCGCCCCCGCTTCCTCGCCCCCCCCCCTCGCCCCCCCCCCCCCGTCCGCGCCTCGATTGCGGGCCTCGGCCGATAAGGAGGCGGGCCAGCTTGCGGGGGCGCCCTGGTCGCCCCTCGCGGGCCCGCGCTGGCCCGCGAGGGCGGCGTCCGCCTCCGGGGGTCGATGGGGGGGCGGCGTCGGGGAGCGCGGCGAGGCGCGGCGTCGCTGCGCGGGCCCGCGACAACTGGCCAGCGGGCGCCGCGATCGCCGCGCGACGAACCGTCTCGCCATTGCGTGGCGGGGTGCTCCAGGCGCAGTCCGCGCGCCAATCGCGCGACAGAAGGGCGGGTCCAATGCGCCGAGGAGGGTGGGCGCGCCAGGGGCAGATTCCCACGGCGGCCTCGAGGGTCGCTGCCGCGGCGCCGCTGTCCGCGGGCCCCAGGATTGTCGCGCCACCTCGACGCTGGGAGGGGGAGCTCCACTCTGGATGGAGGGCCATCGGCGCGGGCGTGGTCAACGCCATCTGCTGCGTCGCCCGCGCGTGCGCGGGTGGCGGCGGCAGCGGCAACATGCGACGCCTCCGCGCCTGGGGGCCCGAGCAGCATGTTCGCGCGCCTTTCTGGCGCTGGGCGCGGGGGATTATTGATCGGTCAGCGGCGAACTCAGACCTCATCGAGTTTCCCTTGCGGCCTACGATCCGTCTCGCTTGACCGGCATGGCTCGCAAGTGCGCGGGCGAATGGCCGCCGGGCGTTCTCATCCAAGGTGGTCATGTCAGCCAAGACCCGGCGTCTCCTGCGATTTCCTTCGCGCATAGCTTGGGCGAGCGGCGGGGCCAGCTTGGGAGGGGCGGCGCGCGCGGGCGGCATCGGCTCTGATGAACTTCGACCGATTGCCGCCGGGTCGCATCGACGGCATCTTCACCAAATTCGACATCGTCATCAGGAGGACGCAGCATGCCAGTCAATTCATGATCGGCTACGAGTGCACCAGCTACTTCACCGGGGTCCTGCTGCACTCTGACATGGTCTATCCTGCGGACGCGCCGCAGTCGGCCCGCATGGTGGGCCACTTGCGCGGGCTTGGACATATGATCCAAGGCTCGCCTGGCAACGTCGCCTTGGCGCGCCAATCGGGGCCAGAGTGTCTTTGGCACTGGGGCCGGATCAAGCTTGAGCGGCAGTGGTCTTTAATTGCGCCCCTGGAGCGGCGCCGAGTCCGCCCGCGGCGCCAGCGGCCGCCAGCGCTGACGCATCAGCAGCGCCGCGAGCGGCGTCTCCAGCGGCGACTGCGGCACCGACTCTGACATAATCAGCTCATTCGGCGAAGAAGTCGGCTTGCGATCGCGCCAAGCCCCGATGGCGCCGCTTCAATGGCGACGAGCCCACGCGCCTTGCGCGGAGGGTCATCTGAAAAGGCCACAGAAAAAAAAGGCTGCGAACAAGGCCGCCGCGCCTCCGACTTGCCCAGCAACGACTCCCGCGAAACCATCGCCGGTTTCGGGGGGGGCAGCGATAGGGGGGCGGGGGGGCGAGCACCCGGCGAGCGGGGCGGCCCTTGGCCGACAAGTCAGCCCATTGGGCCCAGACGGGACACGCCACAAGTGCCGCAAGCGACTCAGGAGCACTTCGCGCGCGATTGCCCCCGTCGGCGCCAGCCAGCCAGGGCGAGCCGTCGGCTCTCCAGCATCAGCAGCAGCGTCTCCGCCGACGCCAGCGCCCTCACCACTTACGCACCTGGGACACAACGGAGCGCCTGGACCGACCTCAACAACCAGCACCAGGGGCCTATTCGGTCTGGATGACCAGGGGGACCTACGGGATGCACGGGCCTGTTGTTCTGGGACCCGACTACGGTGACCCCGCGCAGAGCGCCTATCTTTGGAACGGCGGCCAGCCGACTCCTACGCCAGTAACTACGCGGGCAGCACCAGCAGCAGCAGCTTCCAGCGTTTCGCCCGACGGCTCCTGGCAGGCAGTTGGCCAGGGCCATTGGTCAAGTTGGGCGGGTACTTCGTCGTCCTCATCGGCTCCGCCCAACCCTCATGAGGCCGAACTTCGGCGACTGCGCCAGGCAATTGGCGACTTCATGGGCCGCGTGCATCAGGACTCGGCCCAGCCAGCGGATAGGGCAATCACGCCGCCAATCCGCATGACAGGAGTGGGGGGCTCAGCGCCTGAGGCGCCCACAGCTCCAGAAGCATCAGCAGCGCCGCCAGCGCTGACGCCCCAGCGCTGGGCCGGAGTGGCCGGCGCGTTCCAGCTGGAGCCACAGCATGCGACATCAATGCCCGAGTCGCGGTGCAACCGCACAGCTGCCCCATTCGCTGACGTGCAGTTGCCGAGCTGAGCCCGCATGCCATCGGTCTCAGCATTCGGCGCCCGCGCGCCACATGGGTCGAGCTCTACGTGGCCACCGCAGTCCGCGCTGGCAGCCGCGTCACCACCGATGCCAGAGCCCCCCGCCCCCGCTGACGTGAGCCGCCAGCCTTGTCTCCAACGCCCCAGAGATCCTCGAGCAGTTCGAGGACCTCAGTTGCACCGACAAGCACGCGCGCACACGCGTGCACGTCGAGGACCACAACGGCACCGACGCCCAGGTCTGGCCATGGATTATGGCCGAAACATCTTGTCCAGGGCATCGTATGCCTACGCCGACGCCTGCTCTCGAAGCGAAATATGCTCGCGCGCGCGATGTCGATGTGGCAGCCTTTCCAACGGTAGCCTCAGAGGCCACAGAGGGCGAAATTAGAAGTGGCGCGGCCGCTGGGCGCACGTGCTATTCGCGCAGGGTGCGCCGACGCAACGCGCGATCGGACTCGCCCATGGACTCCCGAGACCCGGCTTCCGCCGACGCCCGCGCAGCTCCCCGATCCACAGAGAATGCCGTGGTTGCCGCGTGGAGATCGAGTGCGATCATCTTGCACATAAAGATGGGCTCAGCACGTGCAGGCTCGCGGACCCTCACGCGCGGCCGCGCCCCCGCGCCGGCCAACGCCCACGTGCGCTAGCCCCGCGTTCAGGAGGACCGCGCCACTCCAGCGACCAGCAGGCACAACCACCGGGAGGAGCTGACCGCGGAGCAGCAGACGAAGCCGAATTACAACCGGCATTTTCAGATACACCAGGAGCCAGCTCATCGCCCAGCGCCAGCGCTCAGGGTAGCGGTTCGGCCATCGCGTTGCTCGTCCACGAATTCGAGCCAGTCCAGCAAACCAGCGCGGCACCGAGACGCGCTGCGCCGCGAGCTGCCGACGCCTCTGCATGCAAACCTCCGCTTGTAGATTGGAATCGCTTTGACATCGCCACGTCGCTACGACCACTGCGCGGCGACTCGCACGAAACACGAATGCGAAAGCTACGCAAGGTAAATCCCCGGTGGTGGCACGCCACTAAGGAGGAGATGGCAAGAGCGCCGCGCGCATCCAACATGCCACTGGCAAGCCGTGACCTCACCCCCTCAGTGGTCAACAAATGTCGTGGATGCCGTGGGCGGTTACCACCAGTCGATGCGCGATTCGCCCTCCACGTTGAATGCGGCATCCTGCATTACATGGATCGCATAATACTGCGCCTGATCTGCTGCGGCTCAGGGTGGCACCATGGCCAGGAGATCGCGGACAGATGCGACCCAACGTTGCTGGCTGCAAGTGGCAGGTCATGGATCCAGCTTTTTGGATCAATGGAGACCTTCGTCGTGGACGGTGATGGCGGGATGGCCTCCAAGTACTTCGAGGAGATGAGGAAGGGGGTGGGGGGGGGGGGGCCGGTGGACATCCGTGCTCCACGCCAGCGCGCTGGCGTCATAGAGCGACGCTGCCCAACGCTGCGACGCGCGCAGCGCGCCGCCGACCGGCAGCTGGAGCGCGAAGGCATTGCCGCCAGCTTCGACTTCATGCTGGCCCACGCCACCTTCGCGGGCAACGGCGCCACCCTCGCGGGCGACGCCGCGCCGCGCAACGTCGTCGTCGGCAGGCAGCCCCCCGCGCCGTCACCATTCGAAGCAGACGAGGAGGGCGAGGGCGACTGCGTCGCCGGAGCCAGCCCCGCTGCCTGTGGCGAGGTCCAACCAAGCCGACTGCAGTGGCGCATCCGTGATATCGGCTTCCAGCGTTTGATCGAGGCTACTTCGATCGCCCGCGGAACCCGCGCCCGCCGGACACGCGCGACAGAGACTCGAGATGGGGCGCTTCAGCGTGGGTGATCGGGCGAAGTTCCATCGGCCTCCTAGCGCAAAGGGCGCGCCAGGCAGGGCAGGGCTCGGCGCTGCCCTGTCAGTGCCCCCCGGCCAGAGGCGAGGCAACCGCTGAGCACCGCGGCGCCGAGATGGTTTGCAGACAACAGGGCGCGCGGACCTTCATTGGCGCCGTCTTCAACGACATGGGCGCCGGCATGGCGCGAGTAGGCCTGGCCTGGCATCGGGCGGAGGACATCCCAGAGCGCATCGCGCCCGGTTTAGGGGCCAAGGCCCTCGGCCATGGCGGGGGCGAGCGGGGCAAGCAGCCGACCGAGCAGTCTCGGCGACGCCCTGATGCCCTTGATCCTTTGCGCCACGTGCCCCGCCGATGCTTCCAGCTACTTGGCATTCGCGTCTCGTGCGTCGTCACAAATGCGTGGGCGACTGCCTGGGCTGCAACCGCAGTCTGGTCATCTTGTGGCCCCCTGAAAACCCAGGCGCCGCCCGCCGCCCGCATTTGGACGGCGCCAGGTTCGACGCCCGCAGCCTCGTCGACAAGCAGTGGAGCGACGCTCGCATCATCCAGTCTTTCCTGGGCGACCATCACCTACTGGCAGCCGACGCTGGGCAGGGCCAGGACGGCCGGACGCTCGACGATTGTGCCATCAATTTTTCCGAGGACGTCGCCAGCGTCACGGAGGGTGGTTCACCGTCAGCCCTGTCGGCGATGCCCGAAGAGGCCGACGGCGACTTCTCCGGCCACGTCCAGCAGGTGATGTCGGCAGCTTGGCGGGAGGTCGAGGGCGCGGAGGATCTGCCCCAGGAGCTACAGGAGATGGGGGGGCCCAGACAGCCAGCAGATGGCCCGCGCTGCTGTCGAGCACGCAACCGCCGGCACAGGCCGCAGGCCGCCCGAATGGCATCAGCACTGGAAGACTTAACGTCGGTGTCAGCACGCCCGCGCGCAGTGCCACGACTACCTGCGTGCGCCACGTTAGACGACGACGCCGAGCTTGAGGAGGATGAGGGGAGAACGCATGTGGAGTTATATTTGGATCCAGGGGCGCGGGGGGCGTTTCTGATATGCCTCGAGGGCAACTGCATTGCCAGCGCGTCCTCCGCAGTCGTGCTTAAAGTCTACGCCGCCGTCAAGACCGCGACAATCAAGCGCGAGACCGATCTCCTAACAAAAGTGGAGGTGTCGAGGCTGACCAAAGAGCAGGCCGCCGCCATCGTCGGGGAGCTCCCTCTCTGGGCCAAGTAGATCGCGTTTCGAGCGGTACCCTTGCAAAGGCGCTCGGGACGTCTGAGACTCCAGGCGCGCGTTCACATGGAAGTACTAGATGGGGTCGGACGGCAAGACCGCCGGGAACACGCGGCGCCTCATGGCATTGAAGGCTTTCCGCGACATGCGCCTCGCGCTGGAGACGTTTGCCGGCGCTGCGAAGCGTGCGTCTCGGCGCAATCTGTCCTCAGAGGCGGTTGGTCGCCCAGACTGGGCGCGCGTCGCCGCGGGCGTCGAGAAAGCGTTCCTGCGGGGCGCCGAGATGAGCTGGGCGAAGCATCCCTCAGCTCCGCCCTGCCGCCGGGTTGCGCGGCCATCCTCATGCCGGCCCTGGGCCGCGAGCCCTTCGACGAGCGGGCCTCCGACACCTATGGCGCCGGCGGCTCAGAGTTAGTAGTCGTGCTGTCCAAGCGCGTCGTCTGCTTGAGATTCGCAGGGCTCTTGCAAGCCGGCTGATCGGCCGCGTCGAGAGCGTCTTCGGCAAAAAGAATGTGATAGCGGCGGCGTGGGAGCAATTTCGGCGCGCACCAACGCCGCAGCGCTGCCGGCGCAGCGACGCACGACAAGAACGAGCACATCAACGTGCTGACCCCCATCTGGCACGTCGGTTTGGTCAAGGCGAAGGCCGACGAGCAGAAGGGAGGTCCGCTTCCAGACCGCTGACTCCGCCCTCGGAGCAGCCGCCAACGCCGCGTTGCCGCCGGGCCAAGGACGAGCTGCTCATCGGGTGCATTATGCAGCTCAGCTCGTCTATCCGGCGATGAAGTGCGCGGCCCAGATCTGCGCGCGCAGCGACGGCTCGTAAGCGCGAGGAGACCGGAGACAGGATGCGGCATGCGCGGCGCTTCATGCATGCGTTTGGGCACGTGCCACAGCACTGGCAAAGAAGATCTGTCACGTGCTGACGCTGCGAACCGGTCGCGCACGCTTGCGTGTAGATCTTCGCGCGGCCCCTATCTGCTCGCTGCGCGTGGAACAGCAGACGGCCCCCCACCGCCTGACGCTCTGCGGCATGGTGCGCGGACCCACCTCAGCAGATGAGGTCGTGGGGGTGAGGGGGTAGGGGCGTCGCGCTGTGCTGGCCGAGCTGGTCGTGGAAGGCATGTCCGTCTTCCCCGCCCAGGCCGTGGATCACGTTCAAAGAGCGCGTTCCACTACTCGCACTTTGCCGACTCGCAACTGACAGAAGAACAAACCTTTTGCGTAATGCATCGTAAATCACCCGCGGCGGATCCAGGCCATTCGCGAATAACTACTTCGCGAGTAGTGGAACGCGCTTGTTCGCCCGCGCGGCCGCCATCAGAGAATGGCGCGGCGGGCCGCCCGCGGCGGCCTACCAGATCAGCTGCGCGCCAAACAGCTGTCCGACGTGCTGCGGCGCAACGCCCGCGACGCGAGCGCCGATCCCATGGCGCCCATGGCCAAGATAAAATTTGACCAGGAGCTCTTCCTCGACGTCATGGAGGGGAAGCTCGCCCACGCGCGTGCGACGGCGAGGTTGAGCGAGGAGCGGCCAGAGCAGTCGGCGCCGAGCTCCCAACGCATCGACCACAACAGGGACAGCGGGGACGCTACTGGACAACCCACTCCGCGACGCGCGCCCGAACTGCGTTCGCGAGTGCGACGCAGCACATCCAGGAGAGGAGTACACAAGGATTCGCATGCCGCAACTATGTTCGCGAATGCGACGTAGTGAGGCACGCAAGTGAGAGGCTGTTGCCATGGACTATATTCGTGGAACAGCAGGCCGTTGAGCGTTGAGCACGTGAGTGCTCGATTCTGCGTTTCACCAACTGTCTGCTTCCAGCCCTTCTGGCCAGTCGCGACATCAACTTTACATCAGGGGCCTTGTCAGAAGAAGTCCCCCCAGTCACTGTGCTCTTCTATAAGGAACCTGTTCAGTAGAAGGTTCCTAGACGTTGTGCTATTTTGTAAGATTTGTGGTCCTTCCATGCCCTGTCCAGTGTTGTAGATATTTAGTGTTGGTGACATGTTGTGGCTTGTTTGTGGCCTGGACGGCTTGCGCCCGGACTGCCATCGAGACGCGGCGGGCCCGTTTGGGCGGCGGACTCGAGCAACAGGTCATTTATTCATGGGGCACGTCAGCAAGGCGGCATTGGATCCGCTGCCATGTGCAGGGGTCGGGGATCCCTTGCCGCGCCCGCTCTACGGTATACAAACCGCCACGCGTCGCTTAACAGCAAGGCTATCTCTCCATTCGCCCTTCGCTTTTCGTTGTAGTCTCCCTTGCTTCTAACCTGCCGATGGCCGTCTCGGTTCGGGCAGCTCGCCGGCGCGGCGCCCGAAACGCCCCCCAAACCCGCCTGGGTAACTTCGTGGGAAAAATGGCAGAGGAGTTCGACCAGCGCCCGTCGAAACCGCTCCAGATGCACGGGGTGGCCCTTCGCGTCGCGCGGCACATGCCGGAGAAAAACACGTGTAACGTAGGTCAATTTTCTGGACTTGCGGATTCTAAAGCAGACTCCGTCGCGAGTATTTGCGTCCCGGCGGGCTTCGACGGGGCCGACGGGCCCTTGTTCCAGCCGGACACAGCGGCTTGGCAGAAAACCGCGGCCCTCGTCGAGGGCGAGTTTGACGTGATCTGGAAGGGCAAGCGCGGCGACATGGAGGTGCGCGAGAGGAAGAGGCGAGCTCCGTGGGCCACTGCCGCATTCGCCTCCCGGCGCGCCTCATGACGAGCAACACCCTGGCGGGCCGCCATGTCCGGGGAATGAGCCGTTCAGCTTTCGATTGGCTTGAGGATATGAGCCGCTCATGAACCATAGTCGTGGGAATGGACCGCTCGCGTTGGATGCTGGGAAAACGAACGAGTGCAGATGAATCGGCTTTGTAGGGGGCTGGGGGAACGAATTGATTCAGATCAACTGGCCGTGTCAGGGGTTGGGGAAGCGGAGCGAGTTCAAATGAATTGGATGTGTTGGCCTTGAAGATTACAGGTCTCCAGTCCTGTCACGGTATGTATGTGCGCCCTCTTCTTGACCTCTCCTCCATTCCCGTTTCCTGTAGTTTCGTTCCTTTTTTTGGTTGTGATGTGCTGCTGCTGCTGTGTCCCCATGCATGGGTGCATTGCGTATGCGTCTCTGTTTCATGACAGTGCACGTCGATCACCGTGCGCCTAGCGATATGTCGATCCGCTTTCCTGGTGTGGCACTGTAGTTTCGTAGTTGCGCTGTGGTGGTCGATGGAGCAAACCTGTATGGCTGGCGTTCACGACTTCGGTGACAATTCGAGTTGATTGTGGAGCCGTTTCTGATGCGATGTTTGTTTTCCTGTGGACGGAAGTTCCCGTGCATTGTTTTCTGCATTGTTGGGCCCCTTTGCTCTTCGTCGTCTTTGTCCTCCTGCTGCGTCAGCTGTTGCATCGTGGAGTCCCCTTCACTTGGGGAGCTGATGTTTTTCATGTCTGGCAGCCTTTTCATGTCGAGCCGCCTTTGATAAGCGAACCATCTACATTTACGCACACAGCTGCCATTTGTGCATCGCCATCGCCAGGCAATGACCCCTGAGCCTTTTCGTTGCATCTGGCATCGCGCCATCATCATCATCATCATCAGCAGCATCATCATCATCATCATCTTGATCATCCGCATCAGCAGCAGCATCATCATCAGCATCGGCATCATCATCATCATCATCATCATCATCATCATCATCCTTATCATCATTCTCATCATCATCATCATCACCATCATCAGCATCATCATAATCAGCAACAGCAGCAGCAGCATCATCATCATCATCATCCTCATCAGTATCACTATCAACAACACCATCATCATCATCATCAGCAGCAGCAGCATCTTGAATATTCCTCGTTGCTCATCTTCCACTTCCCTCCGCCTCATCCATCCCGCCTCTTTCTTTTTTCACTCCAGCCCATTCTCCCCCAACGGTATCCCTCCCCCTCCGTGATCCCGCCCCTCCGCAGTGTAAATCCTGTCCTCTCCCGCCCGTGCTCATCCCGCATGATGCAGCTGCCGCTGCCCCCTTTTCGAGCTCTTCCCCCCGCTCCTCAACTTTCGCCCCCCCCTCATCTTCCGCACCCTCCTCTCCTCCTCGTACTCTCGTACTCCCTGACCCCCCCCCCTCCAGGACACCCCGCCCCCTCCTCCGCGCCTCCCAATCCCGCCTCTCGCTCCTCCTCCCCTTCAACCCCCTCGCCTGCCTCCCCCATCCGTCCCCCCTCCCTCCCTCCTTGTCTCGGGAAAACCAGAAAGGTACCGAGACCGCTGCGCGATCAGGCAGAGTCCCCAGCGTCTCCCAGGCCCGTCGCCTCCCCGCCGACGCTCGTGCCCGCTGCCCCCCCGCAGACCCCGGCGTGCACCGGCTGCAGCCTGTGGCGCCATGCCAAGGCACGCTGTTCCGCGTCGCGGCCCAGGGAGGAGGAGGAGGAGGAGGAGGAGGAGGAGGAGGAGGAAAAGAGGACCCACTCCTGCCTCGGCGGGGGAGGGTACCAGTCATAGGGATGGTTGCTGCTTAGGGGGGCTTCCTATTTGCAGGGAGTCAGGCCTTTTTACCATCTACCTTTACGAGTGTGGCGGCTTGCACCGCGCCGCTAATGGGGGAGGGCCCAAACCTGCATCACAGATTCATCGCCGATGCATCGGCGATGCAGTGGCGATGCGTCGCGATCCCCCGACCCCATCTATCCGGACCCCATCTAGGAGGCCTCTAACCACGCTTCGGCGCGACACGCTGTCCACGGTCCAGTCCCGCGCTCACGTCTGGGGTTTTGATTTGCCCTCCGCCCCGCGGAGCGGAGCGACGCGCTAATTATTTGGTCGCAGGGCATGGCGTGTCGCCCGGGTCGCCGCCGCGACACGCTAAGCATCAGGAGGGAAAGAAACACACAGACACAATTAATCGTCGATTCCCAGGAAAATATGCGAAAATATAGGAAGTGGGGGGGAAAGACGAAAGCCCAGAAAATATAGGAAAATATGGGTAATCCTGTGATTTGTGTCCATTGTGTGTCCCAGGGCCCTTTTAAAGCAAATATTCCCGACCGTATTCGGCCATCTTGGAGCTAGTTTGAGCCGTCTCGGAGGCCACGTGGTTCGCGCCATTCCGCCACAGAACTCAGGCGATCGCAAACATGGACTAAGGGGGCGTGGATTAGCGACGGGTTCCGTTTCCATCGGAAATCGCTGATTTCCGCCGCCGAGCGAGGCGGCCGTTGCCGCATTTTGGGGAGGGCACCTCCCCCGATCCATGGATTTGGCGACCGCGCGCCAAATCCATGGATCGCTAATCCATGTTTGCGCACCCCCGAAGAACGAGGAGAAGGAGGAAGGGACGAACTGGACGACGATGACGGTGGGAGGAAGGAGTTGGAGAAGGACGACGAGGACGAGGACGACGGGACGGGAAGGTCTTTGATGCTCCGTGAGCCTCGTCGAGGTCCTCCTCGTGGAGCCTCGTTGAGTCCAGTGAGGCCGTTCGGGGTCTTCGCCGGGGGCCCCTTTGCTCCGACTTGGTCGGGGCGGGCTCCTGCGCCTGGAGGAACCCATCGGATTCGGGTCATGGTGTCAGTATCGGTTATCCGACCCCCATCCCCATCATCATCCCCTTCGAGACCCCCACCAAATTACCACCCCAGTTGGGGATACACCCTTCGAAACCCGAAGGGGACGGCCTATATCCCCATCTAGGGAGGTAAATCGGCCAGTGGGGCCCAGGCCACGCCGCTGGGGATGGGGATCGGATAAACGATACTCGTGGTGGCCGTTTTGGACGATTCGGGCACCCCTGGGGCTTTCTCCTCGGCGAGACGCACTTGTTGAACAACGCATCCCGAGGCAGGAAAGTCTTTGGGAACCGACGATGCCGCCCGACAGCGACAACGTGCGCGCATCCGATCTTGGTGACCATCGGAGGGCCGACCAGTCACAACTCGGGGGAACTGTGTTCCGCAACTCGTTCGGGTGAGCACATCGTATGGACGATCTATCTAGAGGGGTGTCGAAACAGATGGGTTGCCCCAGCGGGGTAAAGAACTTGCGAAGCGCTTGTTCATAGCAGGGGCTGATATTGCTTAACTTGTCAATTCCCTCGTTCTTTCTACCCCGCCTCCTCGCCCTCTACCTGCGCCTGGCTCGAGTTGGCGAACTCCCGGCCCTTTACTGGAGTACTACACATGATCCCTTTTAGACCTCCAGATTTTCTACATCCAGGAGGTTGCCCAGGACCCCCCCAGCTGTCTTTGCCGCGCGCGATCTGACTCTTTTGCTTGTTTCTCTCTCGCTCTCTCTCTATCTCCTTGTCAGTTTCTCTCACTCTCTCTCTCTCTCTCGCTTCCTCCTATTCATTTATTTATTTTTGTCTCTCTCTCTCTCTCTCTTCTCTCTCTCTCTCTCTTTCTCTCTCTCTCTATATATATGCAGGTGCATCTACACTATGTGTGGAGACATCCTTATGGATGTCTCCAACCGGAAAGTGGTGTTGGGTCCTCGTGTTGAATACGCATCGCCCCGCGTCTCCGTCGTCCTCCTCTCGTCTCTTCCTCCCTCCTCCCCCTGCTCTGTCCTCCCATCCCTGCCTCTGCCCACCGCATTTCCATGTCGGCACACCCCTCGCACGTCTCGTGGCCCCATTCAAAACTCGACCGAAGGCACGCTGCGTTCGCATCGCGGCACCGCACTCATTCAGGCACACTCCTCACACGTTTCGTCCCTACATGGAGCTCCAAGGAATGCCCCAGTGGTTGCAATCACATAGCGGCACCGCGCCCATTTCGGCACACACCCCTCACACGTTTCATGCCCCCAATATGGAGTTCCACCGAGGGCTCCAGTGGCTGCGTTCGCACGGCGTCACCGCCCCCATTTCGGCACACATCTCACACGCTTCGTCCCTACAAGGAGCTCCACGGGAGGCCCCAATGGCTGCGTTCGTATGGCGGCACCGCACCCATCTCGGCACACCTCTCACATGTTTCGTGGCCCCATGAGGAGCTCAATTGAGCACCCCAGTGGTTGCGTTCGCATGGCTCCACCGCGCCCGTTTCCACACGCACTCTTCGTGGCCTCACAGGGAGCTCCACCTCAGGTCCCAGTGCCTGCGTTTGCATGTTGGCACCGCGTCAACGTCGGCACACCCCTCACACGCTTCGTGGCCCCATAGAGAGCTCCACCGAGGGCCCCAGCGGCTGTGTTTGCATGGCGGCACCGCGCCCATTTCGGCACACCCCTGACACTTTTCGTCGCCCCACAAGGAACTCCACGGAAGGCCCCAGTGGCTGCGGTCGCATGGCGGCACCGCGCCCATTTCGGCACACCTCTCACACGCTTCGTGGCCACATCGGGAGTTCCACCGCAGGTCCCAGTGGCTGCGAGCCAATCAGCGACGAAATTTACAATATTTCGATGACCCGCCCGGATTCGAACTTGAAGTGCGGGCCCCATAGGGTGGGGCTCCCGCTCGAGACTTCCTCGCGACCGATTGGATTCGAACACGAGGTGGCAGCCCCATAGGGAGGGGCTTCCGCTCGAGACCTCCTCGCGATTCACACAGACGACGCTCTTGCTCGAGACGTCCTCCGCACTCAAGCCCGAGGAGCCCAAAAGCGACGACAGTTAACAATTTTCCGAACCCCCCCCGGGTTCGATCATGGAGGTGGGGGACCCC